TCTTGCATACCGTGCCAGACGCTATACCAACTAAGCCACGGAACGAAAAGTCATTCATAAGATTTGGCTCTCTTTTTGCTAATAAGTGTAATAAGGGTCTATAATAAAATAACACTTATTATATTATATATTATATAGTATTTTCCAACTTCTGCTTTGAAAGATATAGAGTAGATATAATAATTATATACAATAGGCCATTCAATCCCATTTAAGCTTTGTTTAAGAATCAAAATAAATTCAATACTTACATTAGCAATATTCGGATCCTGAGTAGCTGTAATAAACTGTCGGGCTTTGGCCAACCCAATACCAGGAAGGGATGCCAAGTAATCACACCCCGACATGATGCACATCTGTCTAAACTTGTCAAATGTGTAATGTTCTATTGGACACCGCATTACGAGGGGGAGCTTCACTGTTTCTACTAGAGTGCCTGTGCCATCAAGATCCATTTTGAACAGTACCTTGAACAATAACAATTATATATATAATTGAATATTGCTGAATATTATAGCAACTCAACACCTATATTTCACTGCCACTATGCAGTAGGAAGTACTTTTGTATTTACGTGCATTATTTATGTGTAATTTATAATAAAACCTAGTTTTAGTTACCCTGTCTCTCAGGAAAATGTCTGGTATTCATTTTATCATACGTATTAATTTCTAAGTTGTGCTTACATCCCAAGCAGTAGATAATAATAATAATCATATTGTGCATCTCTCCCAAATGTACGTAATATTCTAAGGGTCGTATTCTAGCACTCTACTCAATGCTCAAGTCAGGATTGCACTGGAAACACAAGCACTGGAAATACGACCCTAATGGCAGGGACTTGAGTATGATTTCAAGTACTTTAAACCATACTCAAATCCTGACTTGTTGAGTAGAGTTCTAGAATACGACCCTAAGTACACTGAAGTCTATCTTAAGCATGGGCATAATGGAGTCCATGATAACTGCTAGATATGGCAATTGCATTTTATTTCAACTTCTCATGATCAATCACAAGAAAAGAGTTTAGCTTGGTTTAGTTACCTTGGTGCATCCAAACAGAATCAAGTCTGAATCTTCAGTAATGACCAGCTGAGCAATATTCTTCACATTCAGATATGCTAATTGGGCATCAGCCTCATAGGGTGCGACAATACAATCCACATTGCGCTTACGACACTCCTTGATTAGTTCTAAAGCCATGAAATGGGTAATGTCTACACTACGCCTCATGTAGGACCGAGCTTCCTCTATCTGCAACATTTTAAAGGCATACATTCTTAATAAAATATATTATCCACTTTGTTTTAACTGCATCCATGGCCAAACGGTTACCATGTTGATCTGCCACGGAGGTATGAGTTTGCGTGTAATTTATGGATGTCTGATGTAATATGCGATGATAGTATGATGTACTCCATTTCCCTATGGATCCCCAAGATTTCCAAGTGGTTGTGTAGTTGCCACCTACTTCTTTGCCATAGAGAAAAATCAACAATGTACAGACAAAATGTAATGATTCATATATATTGGACATTTAAAGTGGGTTCACAATTTAGACTATGACCAAGCTGATATGTTGATACAATGCACAATGTAATTCAGAAACACCATACAACTGAGTATGTTGTTTTCTGTACACATATAGATTGTATCATTGTTGTTTAGAAATAGTATAGGTAAGTGTAAGCTAGTTGTTACGTTACACCTGAGAGATATGAAGAGCGGGATCTCCTCACAGGCATTCTTATGCTTAAAAGGAGACTTCGGCAATGAAACTGAACACTAATCAATAACTATTTTTTATTCCAATTTTTTATTTTGATTTATAATCAATATAAGCACTATGGCAAGAAACATACTGACAAAAGTTTTTCTGATGAATGCGATCGTATGTCTTTAAATGTATTTTTATGGTGTTATTACATGGACATTTTGGTGTTACAACAATGCTTTTTGACTAACTTAAGACAATTTTGTGTTGATAAGTATAGTGACTCCCATAGACAACAGTGCCCATCATGAACACTAAAGTATATTACATAAGTATATATTGTTGTAATAATTTACAATTTGATTTCTAAAACATTTCTGAAGTTTACCTTTCCGAGACTCAATAGTTCAGCTGCTCTTTTTCTAGATATGTGTCTTGATCTGCAAATTAAATAAAAATGCAAATATTTACAAAATGGTAATCTCTACTTTTACAAAATCAATTATGTTTTAAAGAAAATACTTACTCTCTTCTCTTTAATTCAGTCATAGCCTTAGCTGGCAAATGTCGACCATCAAACACCAAAATAGGTTTTATGTTTTTAGCTAGAAGCATCGAAACATACTTTAGACAATATCTTATGTGCCTGAAAAAAAATTTAATAAAAATAAATACTATGTAATTGCAGAATATATTTTGATACTTTAAAATGTGAACGAATTATAATATATATAAGAAATATAAAATAATTAATCCAAAAGATACACATTCAGGTACTTTGCTGTTGTATACTCCATTTTGATCAAATAAATTGAGCAAACTTACACATCAGTTACTTCCCCTCGTACAAGCTTATCAGCACAAGCAAAGGCACCCTTGTGAAGCCAACAGTAAGTATCTATCGCCACGGTACAACCACTAAATTCACATATATTCGTTTTCCTGGAAGCCTTCTCCAGAAATGGTATTAAACCCGTGATACCCATTTTTAACTTAAATACTTAAACCTATACTGAAATATAAATGCGATTAGTAGTAGGTTAGGGCATGTTTTCAGTCAGATTAATGGAAAATCTGTTATATTACTAAAACATATGGTCAATAATATAAAGAAAACATGTCTCGAAATTAAAATGTCATCTAGAGTTTGGCGCCCTAACGCCATTTTTTAATTTATTGTTTCTTTTTTCGTCCGAAATGAGCTCGCTCGCTAAGGTCAACGACCATGCTGCCTCATCTATCTTTGAATAAGAATAAGAATTCCGGTAAAAGTTTTTTAATTGTTTTGTTGAGCAATGTATAAATAACTCCAAATGCATGTAAAATGGCAGCTGTACGAGCAAAATCACTGAGTACTTTATTGTAATACTGAAACGCAATGTAGCGCTATCCTCACACTACTAATTGATAAATGGACATACCATGACTTAGGTACTCTAATAAACCATTATTTTGTAACAACTGAACCTAGCTTTATAAACGTAAGGAACACAGTACAGTCATATTCAAAATTGTTAAATTAAGTTAAATAACTATGGATTAATTATTTGAAAAGTTTGATTCACCACATTTGATTGGAATACACTACTACAATCTTTGCCTTTGTAAAATCAGGTAGTCGTCATTACAAAATTAAATATGAATAGTTGAGGGTAGCTGAAAACAAATTTCGAAAATCGATTATGTAGCACGTTGGCCTCTTTATTTTATTTCCAAGGATAAAATAACTAGACAGGTATCAAGTGTTTCATAAAAAGTTTTTTAAATACTTTGATTGTTAGCTAAAATGAAATTTCTACCGCAAATACTGACGTCGGTGGCAACGATTGCAGTAACATGTGCTGTGACGGCCGCTGCACTTTACTTTAAAAATCGAAGGAAAGAGATTAACGAACTGATGGTATTCTGCAAATTACAGTTCAATGCTTACTGTTGTTTCGATAAATTAATCAGTTATATAGAATCTGCGCAGAAAAGTTTGTGTGTTTGTATGCCAAGCATCCATAATCCAGCTATTCAAGCCAGACTAGTAAAACTGATAAAGGAAAAGAAAATCAAAGTACACATTATCATTAATCTAAATGGATATAAGGATTCTACAGAATTCCTTTTAAAAGAACTTATGGATGCAGGTGAGTGTTATTTTTGTAAATATGTTGAAATAATGTGAAAAAAGTATTAAAGGTATCTGTTACAGGTGCAGATATAAAATGTAGAACAGAACCATACAACATGCAACACAAGTTTTGCTTAGTCGACGATGAAGTACTCTTGACAGGCACTTTAAACTGGGGCGATGACCGTTCTTCTGACAACTGGAACTATGTTTATATCACCAGCAAGCCTCAGCTAGTCCAGCCTGTAAAAAATCAATTTTACCAAATGTGGAACACTTTTGTAAACTTGGAAGAAGCACCATTACCACCACAGACGCCTTCGGAGTATGAAAGTGATGTAGATACAGAAATCAAAGGAGCAGATGTTACATCAGATGAGAGTGGCATTCAAAATGAACCATCAGACGTGCCATTGTTGAGGGAGACTCAAATTACACCAGAGTTATGCATTCCATAGATTTCAGAGTCATGAAAAATTTTAAATTTCACAAATGTTTACAGTAGTGCAAACATGCTTATCAATAAGTTAATAGTATAGTTCTATGTCTTAATTTTTTATCAGTATACAATTTTAATATAAAAGACTGATTAGTATACTAATAATATTATTGAAATGGTTACAATTCATAATTTTCAAACAATTTTTAATTTTTTTTTTCTTTCTATCATGTATGTATCTTCGTCTTATTAGATGAATTAGCTTTTTAAAAGAAAAGTTTTTCTCCATCTACATTTCCATATATTTTTATTGCCTTACTTTTAACTTATTTATTCTAAATCATCTTTTGATTGTTGTGTCTAATTTTTTTCTGTTTATGAATCATGATGGAAACCAAGTATATTTTTAAATTTAAATAAATTAATTTTCAACATTAATACTTCTTTATTTAAAGTCACCAAAATAATGGGATAAAGAAAAACAAAAAAGAACCTGCCAATATAAAATTTATTATTACATATTAAAAAGATTTTGAGCTCCAGGTTGGGTCACTCTCCAGAAATAAGTAATACAAATATGCAGTTGTAATAGTAATTGGACATATCAATTAGCGAACATGTAAGCCCCGTTCCCCATGGTAGCCAACAGCTAGCTAACTGGCTGCCTAGATAGCTGAACCTACATTTCACATACAAAATATTGTGAACACATTGGGTAACACGGCTAATAATAATAAATGGCTAATAAATTCACTGATGAATTATAATAATTTACTAATTTGTTTTTGTTGCATATAAAAGCAAACAACAATTTTACAGCCAGCACTAAATGTCTATACCCCTTACTGTAACTATGTTAATTCTGCCGTCCACTAACTAAAACGAGGCTAAGAGACAAAAAACTTTTTGAGATATAAAAAACCATATCCCAGTTTTAGAATATTGAAATTGTTTAATTATATTTCATCTCTATTTTTTGCTATTTAAAATGACTATTTAATCATTTGTCACCTAGCCGCGTTTTAGTTAGTGGACGGCAGAATTATTTGCCTACCATTAATTTATAATAAGATAAAATCTTAATTCTATTCCCCACCCCTAATAGCCTTATATTTGGCTATCTCATTCGGGAAGGTTTTGGAAAGTTCAGAGAGTAGATGACTCTTAAATCTCTTGTAGGAGTCAATTTTGCCTTTAACCTCCTCATTCTTGGCTAGTGCTTTATCAATACAGTCTTTAGTGTAGAGTTGTGGGTTCCGGCCTTGGTCAATGTAACTGGAAAAGATTAAAAAATACAGTATTATTTTATTATTACGGTGGCTTAATTCGAGGGCTTGCAACCTCTCAATCACTGCAAACATTAACTGATCTACTGTGATCACCACTAATTACAGTTCGGAGCCAAGTCCAACGGCTTAAACGAACTGAAGGACTTTCTTGGCTCTGACAGTTTTCATGTTTGAAATGTAGAGGAGTTTTATCCTCCTCGTGGCAGATTCTACACTATCTGTTTTCTCTCTGCCCAGAATTTCACATGCTTGTTCAAGCCACAATGCCCTGTTAAGGGTCTAGTCAGTATTCTGACGCCATTCCTGTAGAGTTCTTTAGTGTGTTTGTTTAGTGCACTGTATGCAGCTATCAGAATTTTTTTAAATACTGTAGATATTGTTCTGTATATTGCAGATATTGTGTGGGCTGTGTGCAAAGACCTATATATAAGTTGGAACACGTAAAATCTGAACCAAGCGTAAACAAACTCTGTGTGGACTACACAGAATATTTGAAAAAATTAGGAACAATAATACCACATCAAAGGATAATCTGCAAGAAAAATACTGCTATCTGCTTTAGAAAACCGCGTAACTGATTTTTACGATGTACAACACGATCATAGTAACTCTTCGAAGTAACATATTTCTTCGTCGGGTCAAAAATTTAGATGTTTTATGGAAAAATTATTGTACTTACTCAAACACTTCTGTAGGAACATGAATATCGTGAACTTGCGACTTCAATTTGTCCACTTCCTGAAGTCCAGTTACGAGTGATTGTCTAAAACAACCACAAATATCATTACTAAGTTTTATTCATAAGTAATGAAGGGGTAAATGTTCAAAATGATACTTACATTTTTTGATTTAAAACACTTTGACCCTGTGGCTGAAAGTCACTGACGATAATACGGATTTGACGTACGTTTTCTATAAACATCTCTAATTGAGTCTCCAGATTTTCAAGAGCAGCTGAAGACATTGTTCTGGATGATATTTAATTAATAAATAGCCACAAAATTATACGCACTCGGAACAAGCACCACAAACTACTAGACACCACAAACTACTAATACAAGCTAGACACCACAAACTAAAAATACAAGACAGACGGTTAAGTCTTTGGAAAGACAATGTCATAGTAGTGGGGTATGATGCGACGCGGAGGCGGCGAGGAATGTGCTATAGATATTCATTGATAAATTTATGCAATATCTCACTTGCACTTTGAAATTTGTTCATTATCAACTCTTTTGTTCCTTTTACACCTTTCATATAGTTATGTGTAGTATTGTAGTAAAATAGGGACGCCCTCTAATCGATAAAACCGGTGTTAGAGCTGTGCCATACGATTAAAGTATAGAATATTTTTCCGGATTTTGTACGCTCAGGTTCTGGAGATACAAAAATTTTAGGAATGGGGATTAAAATGAGTAAGAATGACTTTTATTTATTTATTTAATACACAGATACTTATACATTAATATATCTTATACCGAACTTAAGTAACAATCTTTATATTTTAATAATACCAATTTCTACGGCTAAAATGTGTACGTGTACCAATGAAATGGCCCCTCTGATGAGGGGGAACAGCGCCCCACCTAGTACATACGATAATGTACAATTTCCGCGCTGTTCCGTGCGACTCAACCACTACTTGGATATAGCTCCGCCCGCATATAATATGGGACACTACTACACTACTCTTATCCAAAAGCAATAACTGCCTCCGTGGCCGAACGGTTACCAAGCCGGACTGCCACGCAGAAGTCTCAGGTTCGATTCCCGGGCCGGGCAAACATTTGTATGGCCTACATTCATTTCTCTCGGAGTGTGGGTGTAAATGTGGTTGTCTATGTGTGTGTCCATGGCTCCCGCGACAAAGGGTTTCCTATGCTATGTTGAGTGTGCGCGTTATTAAAAAAAAAGCCCAAAGTATACAGAAATGCTTACACGTATATGCATATGTATAATTTAATCATATTTGCAAACTGGACTAAGTTCTAGTATGTTTGTCGGAATATGAAAAGCACAAGAGAATAAAAGGACATCAAAAACTACCTACCCACCTCGTAACTATTCTATATATTTACAATGTAGACATGAAAGTCTGGTCTTGTATGTTTGCCTAGCTATCAACAATACAAGAGAATAAGAGATTAAAAGCTACCTACTTCCTTTTTTGATTTTAAACATATTGACAACTTTTAGACTTTAAAGTGACGTCTAGTATATTTGCCTGGCCATCATCATTTAAATAAGAGAATGTTAAAAGAGGACGTTAAAAACTACCTACTTACGTTGTAACTCAGTAACTATTCCATACATATTTACAATTTAGACTTGAAAATCTGGTCTTGTATGTTTGTTTAGCTATCATTAACAACAGGGAATAAGAGGACATAAAAGCTACCTACTTACTTTGTGATTTTACACATATTTACAATCTTTAGTTCTTAAAGTGAGTTCTAGTATACTTGTCTGGCTATCATTTATAAAAGAGAATTTATAAAAGAGACATTAAAAACTACCTATTTTGTGATTCTATACATATTTACAATTTTTAGTCTTCAAAGTGAGGTGTAGTATGTTTGCGTGGCTATTATTTATACAAGATAATAAAAGGACAAGTAAACTACCTACCCATTTTGTAACTCAGTAACTATTCTATACATATTTACAATTTAGACTATAAAGAGAGGTCTAGTATGTTTGTCTGCGTATCAAAACATAAGAATAAGAGGACATTAACAACCTACCTACTTTGGAAATTAGTAACTATTCTATACACAGTTAAAACTTAAAGACTTTAAAGTCAGATCTAGTATGTTTGCCTGGCTATCATTTATACAAGATAATAAGAGGACGTTAAAAACTACCTACCCACTTTGGAACTCAGTAATTATTCTATATACAGTTCAAACTTAAGACTTGAAAGTCAGATCTAGTATGTTTGCCTGACTATCATTTATACAAGAGAATAAGAGGACGTTAAAAACTAACTACCCACTTTGAAACTCAGTAACTATTCTCTACATATTTACAATATTAAGACTTGAAAGTCTGGTCTTGTATGTTTGCCTAGTTATCATTAATACAAGAGAATAAGAGTACATTAATAACTACCTACTTATTTTGTGATTCTATACATATTTACAAGGCTTAGTCTTTATAGTGAGGTCTAGTATATTTGTCTGGCTATCATTTATACAAGAAAATAAGAGGACATTAAAAGCTACCTACTTACTTTGTAGCCATTCTATACATATTTACAATTTAGACTTAGCCTGAACCTATATATGCTTACATATCATTTAAATGATAACCAATAAATTACATAAGTCGAGTAGAGCTAATAACAATTACAATTAAATAGTACCTAACTAATCACAACAATCAACATAAACGTATAGAATATAAACAGAAAATTCTAAAGACGGAATGGGCGGCCACAATGGAACTGCAAACACTCTAGATCTAAAAGAATTGCTAATCAAAATCGAACAAATAAGTAAAATAAAGAAATTGTGCCGCATCGACTGAAAAAATTTGCCATTGAATTTTACAATAAACATGAGATAACAAAATCAAGTACTATAATTACGAAATGGCAAACTTGTTCTAGTATGTTTGTCGAAATATGAAACGCACAAGAGAATAAAAGGACATCAAAATCTACCTCCCACCCCGTAACCATTCTATATAATATTTACAATGTAGACATGAAAGTCTGGTCTTGTATGTTTGCCTAGGTATCATTAATACGAGAGAATAAGAGGACATTAAAATTACCTACTTCTTTTTTGATTCTATACATATTGACAATTTTTAAACTTAAAAGTGAGGTCTAGTATATTTGCCAGGCCATCATCATTTATATAACAGAATGAGAGGACGTTAAAAACTATCTACTTACGTCGTGCCTCAGTAATTATTCTATACATATTTACAATTTAGACTTGAAAATCTGGTCTTGTATGTTTGCCTAGCTATCATTAATACAAGAGAAAAAGAGGACATTAAAAACTACCTACTTAATTTGTGATTTTGCACATATTTACAATTTTTACTTCTTAAAGTGATGTCTAGTATATTTGGCTGGCATTCATTTATACAAGAGAATAAGATTACATTAAAACTACCTATTTTGTGATTCTATACATATTTACAATTTTTAGTCTTTAAAGTGAGGTCTAGTATGTTTACCTGGCTATCATTATACAAGATAATAAGAGGACATTTAAACTAGGTACCTACCCATTTTGTAACTCAGTAACTATTCTATACATATTTTCAATTTAGACTGTAAACAGAGGTCTAGTATGTTTGTTTGCGTATCAAAACACAAGAGAATAAGAGGACATTAACAACCTACCCACTTTGGAAATCAGTAACTATTCTATACACAGTTAAAGCTTAAAGAGTTTAAAGTCAGATCTAGTATGTTTGCCTGACTATCATTTATACAAGAGAATAAGAGGACGTTAAAATCTACCCACCCACTTTGGAACTCAATAACTATTCTATATACAGTTAAAACTTAAGACTTTAAAGTCAGATCTAGTATGTTTCCGTGACTATCATTTATACAAGAGAATAAGAGGACGTTAAAAACTACCTACCCACTTTGAAACTCAGTAACTATTCTATACACAGTTAAAACTTAAGACTTTAAAGTCAGATCTAGTATGTGTGCCTGGCTATCATTTATACAAGATAATAAGAGGACGTTAAAAACTACCTACCCACTTTGAAACTCGGTAACTATTCTATATACAGTTAAAACTTAAGACTTTAAACTCAGATCTAGTATGTTTGCCTGGCTATCATTTATACAATATAATAAGAGGACGTTAAAAAGTACCTACCCACTTTGGAACTCAGTAATTATTCTATATACAGTTAAAACTTAAGACTCTAAAGTCAGATCTAGTATGTTTGCCTATCATTTATACAAGAGAATAAGAGAACGTTAAAAACTACCGACTTGCTTTGTGACTTAGTAACTATTGTATACATATTTACAATATTAAGACTTCAAAGTCTGGTCTTCTATGTTTGCCTAGCTATCATTAATACAAGAGAATAAGAGTACATTAATAACTACCTACTTACTTTGTGATTCTATACATATTTACAAGGCTGAGTCTTTATAGTGAGGTCTAGTATATTTGCCTGGCTATCATTTATACAAGAAAATAAGGAGACATTAAAAGCTACCGACTTACTTTGTAGCTATTCTATATATATTTACAATTTAGACTTATCCTTAACCTATGTATGCTTACATACCATTTAAATTAATAATTAATAAATTACATAAGTCAAGTCGAGCTAATAACAATTATAATTAAATAGTACTAAACTAATCACAACAATCAACATAAACCTATAGAACACAAAAGGAAAACTCTAGGGACGGAATGGGCAGCAACAATGGAACTGCAAAGACTCTACTACTCTCAAAGTCGAACAAAAAATAAAATGAAAAAGTTGTGTCGCTTCGAGTGAAAACATTTATCATTGAGTTTTACGACAATCTTGAGATAACAAAATCAAGTACTATAATCAACGAAATGGCAAACTTGATAACAATAAAATAAACAACAAATATAAAAATAATTAAATAGAAATTAAGAACTGCGCAATCTAGTTGATCTATAACTTAAACCTTTGGTGACTTTACTTTGGATCAAGTTTTCCGTTTCTGCTGCCTTTGGTCTCGAATCAACATTGTGTATTCTTCTATTAAAATTGATGCACCATTGTCTACCTTGCATTTTTATAACGTAAAGGAAAAAAGCAGTTAAAAAATTTTTCTTGTGTCGCGAGCAGGTAAACCAAGCTGTATTAGTATTTTTCTGCAAAATTGAGAGTAATTCTGGGTAAACGTAAACATAGCAAATTTGTGGCAAAAATTTATCGATTAAGTAAATACTCTCCCATACTAATGAACTAATGTTTTTTGAAGGATAATAGAGTGTTTGTTTTTCTAAATTATATTCTCGATTAGCAATTAACGTGTGAAACGGTTGAACATCTGTAGACAACAATGCATCTTTACAAAGGTCGCAGTCAACACACTGCAATTTAGGCAACAGGCAGCGACAAATTGCACCAGCGATGTATGACACACTATTGGTTTGCATAACATTTTCTTATGGGATAGAGTCTATTAATTCACAATTACCTCGGAATCGATATTGTTAGAGACTGTCTGTCTGTTACGTGGTACCAAATTTGTCAAAGTTCCTAACATTGCATCATCCATCAGTGGCGCAGTTTGTGTATAATGATTTTCCAGATGAGATGTTATTGATCAACAACGTTTTGTAGGCTGAGACAAAGTGGGTGCAATCCGGATTGGTATTGAAACCACCATGAGCTCTAATCTGCCCAAAAAAATTTTCAAGTGGATCTTGATTTAAACGTCTCAGATTTAAGAATTTCACTCCCTCTAATCTAGACAAATCAGTCCATAAATGCTTAATGCTTTTAATGTCGTGTACAAAATGTTTAAGGCTAATAGGGTTACTTTCCCTAGGATCTGAGGCATCAAATCTCATTGAATTTATTTTCTTCACAGCATTATTCCAGAAAGAAAAGTGTTCGGAATTTAATGTCAAAGCTTGTTGCAATTTACCGCGAGTATGGCCAAAACAATTCAGACTATCGAACAAATCATTCATAAATAGCAAAAGTTCTGCTGTGAACAAACCATTTTCAATGTCCACTCCAGGTACAGCATATCCGTGTTCTTCTTGTACAAAAAGTAGTGACTTCATGTATAGATCCAGAGACGTGGCCACCTGTCTGCTGAAAACCTGAGCTACTAGTTTGACCTGAAAAGTGAAATTCAGATTGTTTTTATTAAGGTCATAAAATAAAAACATAATTAATACTTATATAGTTCCTATTCTAGAAAAAATTAAAATATTTACATATAACTTTTCTAAAATAGGAACATAACTATTTTTCTTCATTATCTTTATTCATTTTAATTTCATTGACAGGTAAGGACAATCTTTTAATTGTGCATTTCAATAAATTTTTCTTCTTAATTAAAGTCTTTTGGATTCAATCTCATGCTGAAAACTAAATCTTCACTAAGGATTTGTTTTTATAACAACATATCTGCAGCACATAAAATACGTAAAATTCAAGATAATACCATTTCAAAACGTAAAACCCGACACATCAATGAAACCGTCGCAGTGTATTTTGACCTGAAAAATGGACTTGCTTTTTTTATTCGCCTATTCGATAGAGAAAGTTATGCAGAAACCAAGAAAAGAACTCCCGTGTGTCAACTTTGTGTATTAATGAAGATATAATGGTGGTTCCAGCCTGGGTGTTCTGGGTAAAGGATACTAGTCCTGAGTGGTTTTCTTTGCTCAGTACTCATAGTACAGGAAAATCCCTAGTTGGAGAACAAGTAATTGGTATGGTTAATGTAGACAGTGGTGTTACCAGCGATCGGAATTGAGGTAGTTAAATAACTTAAACTTCGATTAAACGTAAAAAATAATGTGGACATTCCCTTCTATAAATCCCGGAACTTCTCGGTGATTATATTTGAAAAGGCGTATTATTTATAAAAATGTTTCAAAAAAAATATTATAATAGTTGTGTTTCTATAGGTGCGTACTGCAAAAGATTGTACTAGTACATTTGCGACAAATTATTTCCTATTGAAAATTTACTACATATTATTATCTCAAAAAATAATATAGTTGCGTTTACATAGGTTTTTATAAAAAAAAATCCAAGACAACTTTCCACTTTGCACACATATTTCGCTGTAGAAGATTCTTTCACACGTACGAGAACAAGTTAAAAAAACAAACAATAGACACCTTTGCCTTTATTAAATCTTGGCGGTGTAGTATAAGAATTGTTATTGTTAAGCACCATGTATTTACATCTATGTTATAACTTATTATATGCAGTTTTAATCAAGCATCGAGTTGTCTCATTCGTCTCCGTCTTACGCTCTCCCTACATGGCGACTCTGCCATTTTTGGGATATAGCTAGTTCCCGGTTACAGTTTGGCTCAACGGACTTAAAATGTATATCATTTATTCTAATCGACACTTAGCTCACACGGACGTAAACGTGACGTTTACGTGGACGTAAATTTTAGTGCAAAAAATGTGTAACTCAAAAATACCTGAAAAACCGGAAGTCACCGCACAAGTCGGTGTTAACAACCAAATTAGAAACAATCATATCGTGACCAATGTTGGAATCATTTCGTGGTCCATGGTGGCAATTATTATAATACTGTTAATGGTTGGAGCTATCGTTATGATCCGGTATTGTGTGAAGTGCTTCAATAAAAGAGTGCAGCGAGGCGTTGATGCAGGTATAATACGGTTAAACAAAATGTAAAAAGGAGCGAGCATTCCTTGTAACGACGACGACCCCGATTCCTTATGAAGAAACCTGAGTCGCAAGATGTTCCTGTCACGAAGCAAATTGCTTTGATAAACCAGTGTACTAGTGAGTGAAAACCCCATTCAATATCAGTGTAAGTGTGGTGAAAATTATGAAAATTTAAGTGCGAAAAAAAAATTTTTTTTATTAAACAGTTATACTACATTATAATACGTACATTATAGACTTTAAGTATATAATATGAATAGTATCAAAATATAGGTAAGTGCGATTTTATGTATGTCAGAATATCTGGAAAATTTAAATGAAGAACTTTCAATGGTTAGAACCTACTTAATTAAAATTGGACCTAAAAGACGATGTGGAAAAATAATTGAAACGAAATTGTAGAGGCAAATGAATTATTAGAACAATATAATACTTATATAGATGCTATTACTAAGGTATATCATTTAAAAAGTAAACAAGAAAAAAATTTAATTGATAAATATTGTCAGGATACCTCACTGCACTTAAAGTTATTGTACAGTGAGGTAAAGAATCTTTGCAATATAAAAAAAGAAAAGTAAAGAAATAATATTAAAAATGGCAACGTTCGATCTGAAGGTCGCGTTAAGTCTTCTGCCAGTCATGACTGACAAAGAAGAAAATATGAAAGAATTAATTGATAGTATTGAGTACTATGCTACTACCTTAGATAACGAATCGAATAAAAAATTAATTTCTTTTATTTTAAAAACCAGGCTGTCTCAATCGGGTAAGCTAAAATTATCTAGTAAATACGAGAATATATCAGAATTACTGACCGATGTGTGCAAACAATTATTACCAAGAAAATCAGCATCGGCTATACAAAAGAAACTTCAAACATGTAAGCAAAATGAACGCTGTTGCTGATTTTGGCAAGGAAATTTCTGAATTGTTCGCGGATTCAACTATTACCCAATCGGACGGAAATTCTGATCATTATAATGTTCTGCGCCCGTTAAACGAAAAAAAATTACGCAATTAAACGGTTTGCCGACGGGCTTAGAAACCGTAGAACAAGTACAATAATTGCAGCGCGTGATTTTAATACACTAAAAGACGCTATTCAAGCAGCGCAAGATGAAGAGATCACGACAATTTCCTCAGCGTATGTAATGGGCATGTCCGCTCAACCCCGTGGATTTACACCCCCCACCGAGCAGCGAAAGCGCGCGGAGGACACAGAGGATACGCGCGAGGGCAGTCCGCCGTAAAGGTAAATACACCAAATTATTATTACAGACGGCCACAGAACTCTTATCACCCAAGAAACCCAAGAGTGTTTTCTCGTGGAAACTCGTACAGGGGTAGGTATCAGGGCAATCGCCGTCAATTATCCCATAGGAATGTGAACTTTATATCCACGACAGGTGACCCCTGCATGGCAACGTAACGTGACCGTGATGAATCAGAGCAAGCAAACGCGTCACATTTGAATAATTTTTTTCGAGTATGACTATGTATTTATGTGCAACAGCTTATGTAAAGTATGTATTAATTTGGACAGGCATGAACACAACAAAAGCGAATGGCTAATCGACACCGGCGCTTCGATTTCAGTTGTCAAGCACGATAGAGTAAAATGTTTACGCATTCCATTCCACAAAGAAAAACTTTAGGTCAACGGCGTTGGTGGAAGCGTACAGTCAGAAGGATATATTTATTTACAGCTCAAAATTGATACCTACACTATAAAACATAAATTTTATGTATTTGATAAAATGCCATTCAAAACTGATGGAATTTTAGGGCTAGATTTTTTAACAAAGTACAAAGCAGTTGTAGACTTCGAATTAAATTAATTAAGAATTTGTAATTTAGAGAGACCTGTCACATTACCCATTACTTACTTGAAACAAGATAGTTCATATTTAACAATTCTAGCAAGAAGCGAATCAATTCATTATGTGGACACGAAGTTAAAACAGGAATGTGTCATTAGTTCTCAAGAATTATGTCACGGAGTATACATTGCTAACATTATAGTACAGCCGCATAATGGTAAGGTACCTTTTAAAATAATGAATACACGAAATGAGGATGTAATTTTGAATTATTTTAATTTAAACGTTTCTAAGTTAAGTGATTATTATTTATGTCACTTTAATAAGTCGAATATGAACGCAGAGAGGGTCAAGTCTTTGTTTTCTTTACTAAAATTTGAAAATCTAAATCAGGAAGAACAAAAGTCTATTGAAAACATTTGTACCAAATTTCCAGACGTCTTTCACGTACCAGGAGATAAATTGACAACGATTTCATTATACGACCATACTATTGAATTAAAGCCACATACTACTCCTGTTTACGTAAAGCCGTATCGTTTACCACAAAGTCAAAAATCGGAAATAGATAAAGAAATAAAAAGTATGCAAGCCGATGGAATAATAGAGGAATGTAGGAGTGCCTGGTCGAGTCCATTGTTACTAGTACCTAAAAAGCTAGATTCAACGGGTATTAAAAAATGGCGTGTAGTAATTGACTACAGAAAATTAAATGAAAAAGTTCAAGATGACAAGTTTCCTCTGCCAAATATTTCAGACATTCTAGACTCGTTATCTGGTGCAATGTATTTCACTACTTTAGATCTCTATCAAGGATTTTATCAAATAAAATTAAATAAAAACAGTCGACAATACAATGCATTCACAACAACCAAAAATCAATATCAAATGACTAGATTACCAATGGGACTAAAAACTAGTCCCAATGCGTTTTCTAGAATGATTACGATTGCTATGTCGGGATTTAATTACACCCTAAACAGCCTATGGAAATAACCAGTACGTCAAGTTATGCATTTGAAAAGATTTATTTAGACATATTTGGTCCTCTGCCTACAGATATTTTTTTTTGCCGGTCATTCTTACTTTCTCACGTTACAGTGCGAACTATCAAAGTTCATAGAGGCATATCCGCTACACACAAAAGATGCTAAATCGGTTGCATCTGCTTTTGTAAATAATTTTATTTTGCGTTTTGGCATACCCAGGGAAATTGCAACAGATCGTGGATCTGAATTCATTTGAAACACAATGGACGAAGTTTGTAAACTATTAAAAATTAAGAAGCTTACTTCAACAGCGTACCACCACCAGTCCATAGGAGCGCTCGAGAATGCACATAAGACTATAGGTGCGTATTTACGTATTAATTGCCTTAACCGAACATGTTCGTGGAGCAGCTGGCTGTCGTTCTGGTGCTTCGCGTACAATAATACGGTACATACAGAGACAAGGTACACGCCGCATGAACTGGTATTCGGAAAGTCGTGCAAATTGCCGAACAATTTAAATTCCGGTATAGATCCTTTATATAACTACGATAGTTATCCACATAAATTAAAATATAGATTACAGGTTGCACAGCAAGATGCAAGGAAAAACTTATTAGGAAATAAGTTAAAACGGAAGAAGG